GCGTCCGAGGAGGAGCTGTGGACGGCGGTGGTGGGTGCTCAGACCGGCGGGGGAGATGGAAGACTCACTCCAGACCGAAGCAATTCTGCCCTGCCCTAAGGCCTGACCTTCATAGTGTTTTCAACTCCTGATCCTTGAAAACCAGGCCCGCAGAGGCTGGACGGCTCCAAAAGGGAGGCCAAACAAGCTGGCACGAGCCCTGGAGCTCCTGGCCAGTGACTGGCCGCGTGGCTGGACGTGGTCAAACGCTGTGCTGACGGGGGACGGCAGAGCCGTGGAAGAGGAAAGTCTCTCCTAGCGGGTGCCGAAATGAGGTAAGGAGGAGGGAGCGGTGCTCAGTGGCTACATCAACTGTTCCCAGGTCGCGGGTAGGAAAGCCTTCACATGCAGAACCAGTTTGCAGCTGGGCATTTGGGCTTCGCTCCCTTCGGCCTCCCTCCCTCGGCGGGCGAAGGCCTCTCTGCTCTGCGTCCAGGCTGGCTGGGCTGAGCCGCGAGCATCCCCTCCTGCCCAGCGTGCCGGCCCCGGGTGGGTTTGCTGCTGCAGGGCCGGACAGCCTCTTCCACGGCTCCCTGCTCCTCTCTCTCTGTCCGTGCTGGGCACAACGTCTCCTTTTCAAGGTGAACATCGCTCTCCAGCGGCAGGGAGCCAGCTCTCCTATTTGTCTTTCGCATCCAGCTAAAAATAGAAAGAGGACAGAGTGTTTACTAGGGTGCGTGAAACCTTCCAGCCCGCCAGCTCAGCCAGCACTGCTTCCGAGCACCCCAGTCCCAGAGCAAGGAGGAGTGTGTTTTCCATGCTTTACCGCATTTGCATCCGCTTTATCCATCAGCGATTTAGAGCAGCACAAGCATTAAGCTACGGGCTGGCTGGCTTACAAAGGCAAAACGGCTTGTAGTGAAAAATCAAGAACCCGACCAAAGGACTAATCATTCCCGTTCATTCCTACCCCACGATCTGATGAAAGTAAGAACAACCTGAATGTTAAAATTGGAATCTTGAAGCCAGATTTTCTCTGGGGTCAGAAGTCACGTACGGACCGTGTTATCCCTTAAAAATACAAGGGGCTGCTTGCTACAGCGAGCTGGCAGAGCCCTACTGCAGACAACGGAGCGGTGCCCGTTGACGCAAGCGGAAGAGCTGGCTCAGCCCACGAGTTACAGCTTCTGCTTAAATTAAAAAAAAAAAAAAAAGTTTAAAAAGTGTTTGATGCCAAACATGGAAAAATCTTCCCAGCAGGTCTGAAGTGATGTAATACCTAACGTTAGCACGAAACTCAAAGTAATGAAGAAGTGGCTCTCCTACAATTTCTCACTTCTGAAGATCTCAAAAGATGAGAGATGTAAGAGTGGCACAGGGAACTAAATGATCGGGGGGGGAAAAGAGTCAAGGCTCCGGTCAGCAATTCAGCGCTGTCGGGTGGAACACGCACCCTCGCTCCTGCCTGCTGCTCGTCGCGCGTCCGGCCACTGCAGCACCTTCTTCGGTCTCGGCCGTAGCGCAGTTAGAGCCTCCCTTTCATTACTATTATTACTTATTTCTCACAATGGTCAGAAAAACCACTGGAAATGAAACCAAAGCAATAACTGAATGCACAGAAAGTGGAAAGCGCCGCTAAGGTGATGCGTGGCTCGGCCCCTTGGTTTATTTCAGCAATTATTTGTGCTACCATGACATTAGCAGCATCACGGGCTCGCAGCCAGGGAAAAAGGAGCGTAAAAACCAACGCTCGAACGG